CTTATGTTGTTTTACTGAAAATAGTTAAAAGCTTATAAATTTACACAATCAGAGATTGGAACTTTTTGTTGACCTTGTTTTGAGATGGGTCTTTGTTTTTGTACTTTGTAATTTATTTTTTGTAGCACTCCATGTTGAGTATGTTCAGAAGAATATAAATAAAGCCATAAATATAGAAATAATAAAGATTTGATATACTGTATATTTTTTTACATTAGTAATTCATTTTACACATAATTTTACATGATTTTTGGAAGTAAATTAAGCAACAAAAAAACTGAGGAGCCATTTGGGAGCCGAAAGAGCCGGCTCTTTTTAGTGAGCCCAGCCAAAAGCCGGAATTCCCATCACTAATGCATACTTGCATCACTGCGCTCACAGCAGAGGGAAAAGGTACTTGATAATCCATCCAGACTTTCGGCACAACCACAAGGTACCATGTTGCAAATTTGCCTGCATTTCCATCAGGTACATTGTTTACAACAAATATGCCCTGTAAATATATGTATGTATGTATGTATATATATATATATTGTATATAAAAACATCAAATCCTCATCTCACATCCTCGTCTCACCCCTCTGAGAGGGGTGGGGGGTGTCCGTCCGTCCCACATTCAGATCGGGTCCTCTACCAGAGGCCAGGAAGCTTGAGGGTTCTGAGTGCAGCAGGCCATATTGTGGAGTAATTGAGAGATCACTGGGTGAAGATAAGATTCTGAATTTTGTTTTTGTTTTAGGATGGCAGGAGAGCCAATGTCATGTGACTGTTTTGTTTCATTGCCGCCTGGCTCTCTTGATAACCATGTTATTTTTGGGAAGAACTCCGACCGTCCCCGGGATGAGGTGCAGGAGGTAGTCCACTACCTCTCAACATCTCACCCTCCCGGAACCATGCTTGAGGTAAGACCACATGAGTCATTTACTTCTAGTGATGCACATAGACATTTTGGGGGTCAGGTGCTTAACCAGCAGACGATCCAAAAGTGAAGACATAGCTACTTATTTGCCACACGTCACAAAGGCGCTCGAGCCCTTATAAAGAGAGAAAGGGGCATGTCATGTTGGACTCCAAAGTGCGTCATGCAGAGCCTTTGTAGCCAGCCCCCCCCCCAAAAAAAAACAATCTGAAAAATTAAAATGGTGAAAATAAAAAACAGTTTTACGCTATAGCTCTACAAATGAGTACTACAGTACATAGTCCTCAGTCTTATCATATCTTCACGCATGTATAATGTATTTCGAAAAAAAATCTTTGAGTTCACTTTTAGGGGCTTTAAACAGTCTTTGACCCCTGTTTCAAACAGCAATTCAGACACCAGCACTGTTAGCAGTGCTTATTTGAGAAAAAAAATTGAGAAACTCTCCACAATTCCTGTGTCAGTCTTGTTTTATATTATTACAAATTAGTTTAATGTTGTAAGATAATTTGCTTGCTCTATTTCTATGCATGTATATTTAATCGTGCAATGTAATATTTAAATGAGGCAGTAATCTAATCAATATCTTGAGTACCGGGTAGTTTATTTCCCAATGTGTGTTACCACATCCATTTTAAATGACACTGACTGTAGCAGAGAAAATTTAAGTTTCCACACGAGTCAATCGTCATGAAAACTATGCTCAATGTGGAACTGCGGGTTGACTCTCAAGACTTTCAAACACTGACACATGTAGGAGACCCTGTGAATGTTTGAGTGGAGTTAACTGCTCAACATTCCAAGGTCCCAACTTGCATCATTTCAATTTGCTTTTACTGTATATTACAACAGCAGAATAAACAAACTGCTCAGTCAGATTTGCTGCCAGTCTCCAGCTAACAATGCACACTCAAGCTCTTATTATTACTATAATGCTTCAAAAAATAAAATTAACGAGTCATATATCTACAAAGCCTCCCTGTTTATTTCATGGTAGGCGGCTACATCAGCGCTTTCAAATATGGGTGACAGCATCGTGCTTGCGGACCTTTCACACTGAGCAAGTGCAGTGTAATCCGTCCCAGAAGTGCCGGTTGAAGTGGCTGGGGAGAGGGAAATATGTTTAAGATGCTCATCCTGTCATTGAACCGCACATAAATGGAACAAAATTGATAGCTCGATGGGTCATTCACATGTTCTGTTAATTGATTTAACTGATCATTTTAAGCCTGTATAACACCAATTATGTATTATTATGCAACAAATATTGCAGTGGGTCGCTGATAAAGTAGTGGTACACTCGCCTGATTTGTTTGCTAGCAGCGTGGGATCGGTTTCCACTCAGTGACGGTATGAATGTGGGTGTGAATGGTTCTTCGTGTCTATAATGCCCTGCAACTGACTGGCGACCAGTTGAGGGTGCAGTATGCCTTCCACCCGAATTAAGTAGGAACATTCTTCAGCACCAGTGTTACTCTGTTTAGGATAAGCGGTGTTGAAAATTGACGGATGGCTATAGCAGTAAGTGATGGAGGGCACACGAAGTAGTTGACTTGTTGGTACTGTAACAAAGAAGAAATATAATGTACATATCTACCAAAGTAATCAGAGAATGAGTTCATACAATCAATATTCTGCCTGCCAGCCACCTGAAAATGAGAATTACTTTGCTGGGACAGTACAAATGTGGTGGGAGACTTCACAGCAGTTGAGCAGTCTTCAGTCTTCTTGTTCTCATTCTCAGTTGATTTCTTTCTACTATGTTGTCCGGTCTCTTCTATAGTGTACGCACATACAGATCCCTCAGTTTGAGTATACACATGCAGTCATCCTGAGTAAACCAGCTTGGATGTGGGGAGCTGAAATGGGAGCCAACGATCGGGGAGTTTGTATAGGGAACGAGGCAGTTTGGACTCGGGAGGCTGTCATTCCTGGAGATGCTCTGCTGGGCATGGATCTTGTGAGGTGAGCTCCTACTGAATACATTGACGACACAGCATCTCGAGCAACTCAAGGTTACAGTATTTTTGTCAATGATACTTCGAAAGATCATAGAAAGAATAATAGATTTTTCATGTACTGGCACCTGCGAGCAGGATATATTTCTTTTTCTTTTTAAATGATTATTCTTGAGGGCGGCCCAGTGGGCCAGTGGACCAGTGGTTAGCACGTCGACCTCACAGTGCAGAGGTCGTGGGTTCGATTCCAGCTCCGGCCTGCCTGTGTGGAGTTTGCATGTTCTCCCCGTGCCTGTGTGGGTTTTCTCTGGCTACTTCGGTTTCCTCCCACATTCCAAAAACATGCATGGCAGGCTGATTGAACACTGTAAATTGCCCCTAGGTGTGAGTGTGAGTGCGGATGGTTGTTTGTGTCTATGTGCCCTGTGATTGGCTGGCATCCGGTTCAGGGTGTCCCCCGCCTACTGCCCGAAGGTAGCTGGAATAGGCTCCAGCACCCCCCGCGACTCTTGTGAGGATAAGCGGAATGGAAAATGGATGGATGGATGAATGGATACTTTGAAAATAAACTGAGTATTGATCAGGGATGTGTCCAAGGACCGGCAACCCGAGGCCAAGGCCAAGGACTTGCCTCCGAGGCCAAGGCCAAGGCCAAGGACTTGGAATATTTTCCAAGGCAAGGCCAAGGCCAAGGACTTGAAAAATTTTCCGAGGCCAAGGCCAAGGACCAAGGACTGTCTTCATGATTTGCAACACCCCTCCATCATAACCCTTTGCACTCCCTAACGCTTGAATGATTTTATTCAAAGAGTAGAACAGTCAGGGTACGTGTTATTTATACTGAGAAAAAGAAATAAAATCATATGATATACATTTATTAATTAATGTTTTAGTGCAGTAGTTTCTTAATATGAAGTAAATCAACACTCAACAGGCATGACATGGCACGGAACACAAGTTGAGAAATGACTTTGCATAGAAG